AAGTAATTCTCTACAATGTCTACAAATAATATTAAGAAACTGAGAACATCTGTCTATATAAACCTGTTTAAGACTTGATGCTATCTCCAAGGTAATATATAAGTACGTAGGTGTCCAGTAAAAGTAATCTCCATGTACATGTAAAAATTCTTCAATATGAACATACCGATTGCCTTTCAGAGGGGAAATGTTGAAATCTTTAGGCAGCCATGTGTCTTACTACATTTCTTTCATGTTGAGACACCAAAACAAAACATGAACCAACAGTGGGCCTAGTCCTGTTATTAAAATTTTCACACAGACTGTCACCAGCTGAGCTAAAACAGCAGCTGTCCACTGGGAATAACTACAGAAATGTTTTGCCCATTGGCCTGAAATCAAACATACGTTTTCCAAGAACAACAAAAATTGAACATTTTTCTGTCATTGTGCGTTCATTAGTGAGGAGTGTTCATTATTGAGTTATACACCTGGGTCATCAGACTGGTGTAAAATCCCAGCACATGAGTCATGGAAATCTTCATAGTATTTTAAATTTTAGTTTTTCAAATTCTTTAAACAATAAATTATTGATTCTGATTATTTTTTAACTGAACACTTGTAACAGATCATGTCTATAAAAAGGAAGAAAGGTCATGGGCCCTTCCCCTCCATAGCTAATAATGCAGGGAGCAAATCATATCCAAGTCTTTATTATGGACTACAGCTACCTTCTACTTCCTTGGTGCATGCATTTAAGACAGCATGACAGGTTTTACTCCTTTCCATGTTCTCTTTGTATACATTCAAGTATGTCAACTCATAAATTCTAAGAGAAATAACTGGTAATGTAGAGCAAGCCTTCAATAGTTTGGTTTTTACTTCTGAGTTAATACTGTTTTCATGTAGATGGAATTTGCTTGGCTTACAAGGCTTCTGGATGGTTGTGGGGCTCCATCACTGGCACAATCAATGAAGAAGCAACCACATCTCTCCATGTAGGTCATCCAGATGCACAATGATCCACGTGTCTTATTAGCGCTCTCGATAAAAGTTCAGTTTATTCAGAATTTATGGTCTATGATTATAAAAGCCTTTTAAGATTTCCTAAGATTCTGACGTCTAAAAATGAATGCATAGCTTTTCTTCCTAAAATTAAAATGACAATGGTCCCAGAGGCACTGAGCATGCCTAACTCTTTCTTCCTTCAAAGCAGACATGGCTTCTCAGTAATCTCTGGATGTTTACCTAATAGAAAATAAAAATAGCGACCCTACCTTCTGTATAGTGATGATTCCTTCCTGTGTATCTTTGTCAACAGAAATCTTGAAAATCCCCAGACCATCGCCATCCACAATCCTGTACTCCATTTCAGCATTAGGACCTATATCTGCATCGGCTGCTTTAATTCTAGCCACGACAGAAGCCACTGGCAGAGATTCTGGAACATTATACTGGTAAGACCCTGCGAAAGAGAAAACAAAAAATGAACAAAACCTTGCACCATCTCACCAATAATAATGTAAGTATGTAGTTGCCTGGCTATTGTGCATCTTTTTTTACTTAATTCATTTCTATTTTTGATAAGATAGATGGCACAGCCAGTTGAGACCAGTGAGGAGGTTACGTAGCCTCAGATGGTTTGGGGGGCGTTGAGCTCATCGCCGACACATGAGACAGCAACAGACAGTCTGAGCACAGGTTGTAGTTCTGGTAGTGAACAGCATGCCAATTTTAACAGGACAACTTTCATGTAATTTAACATATTTGTAAATGGCATTAATAGTCATTGAATAAGATATGTAAGTATATGCCATGAAAATTAAAAATAATATAGTGTAGCTTAGACTTCAAGTAACAAAATGTAAGCCTAAATATTCCCAATTAGTTAGTGCTAGAATTTAAATAATAATATATTTTACTAAAGTGTTTTTTTTGTTGTTGTGTTTGTTTTGTTTTTAACTAAAAGAGTTCAGGACATTGGGCAGGGAAGTTTACGACAGCAACATCACTCATCTATTAGCTTACAGTTTACTAAAGAAAGTAACAATTTCTGTGGGTAATATGTAGTACTTATTTGGGATGTAACAGTATAGAGCAAAACAAAAAAAGAAAGAAAACAAAAGCTAACATTTTTATTTTTCTTTTATGAAAATATTTCAACGTTTCCTCAACGGGGGGGGGGAAGGGGGAGGGAGAGGCCATTCTGGAAAGCAGATGAAATACTGGAAGCATCCCTTTGAAAGGGGGAAGTGCCTCTGAACATGCCCTCTCCATACATCTCTCATCTTCTACTTTTTCCTGCTTCTTCCACCCTATTCCATTTCCTTTGGTTGTTAAATGTTCCACTTCCTCGTGAAGAGAAACGGCGCCTGTTCCTAAGAGCACATGAGAAAAACTGTGCATCGGAAGGGAGTCCATTTAGTCTGAAAACTCTCACGGCTCTTCAATCCAAAAATATCCAGATTAAAACAGTATTTAGGTGATGGAGAAAATTCTAGAAAAAGGCAATCCTACTGACGTATTCTTAGCCTCCCTCATTCAGTAAGAGGGAGAGTAGCCAACATGCTGGAAAGCCTGGACTCTGTCTTATTGAATTTTAGCACGTGAAAACACAAAAATCCTGTGTCTTAAGCACTCTTAGGTTTAAAGACACTGTTAATCTACAGCAGCATTTGAAAAGAAACACAGTGACATCTGCATTTGTGAAGAAGTTTCCTTGACCAATAGAATTTGTTTCTCAGATGTGTTTGTAATCAAGCTTACAAGGGCATTTTCCTTATTTTCTTCCGTATTTTCAGGAAATATCATACACTTACAGGGAACAATACAGAGGTAACTCAAAGAGAATACTATGAAATGCTTTTTACAAGCAGGCACCTCTCCTTTGAGAATTGTTTTGCCTTTTTCTTGGTTAAGTCAAAGGTCACTTTGGTCAAAGAAACTAAATTAGGGCTTGCTCTTTCACGGTTCTTTGGATTGATTGCTATTGAAACGTTGAGTGTTTGCACAAGGAAGAAGTAGAATTGCTGAAGGGATGTCCAATGTGTATGAAAACTGCTTTAAAAAGAAGTGTGGGATAAAAAATGGAAACCTCAGTGCACTCCTATATTGAGCTTTAAAAATAAAGCAATACTTTTAGTGTATACAATTCGTGAATTGTATCTGAATTTTATTAATTTCCAACAATAATATCATAACTTACAGGATGCATAAAAAGGAAGTCAGAATAAGAGAGTGATGCAGGCCCTCCCTGGTGGTGCAGCGGGTTAAAGCACAGCACTGAGAATCTAAAGCCACTTCTGCATGAGTTTGATTCCCGCCTGCCCCGGAGGTGACCACATGGCGCGGCAGACCTCTCCTGGCCTGCCTGCTGCTCCCCTCAGCAGTGTGCTTCGTCAATCTGCCTGTTCTGCTCCTCACTCTGTCTCTGGTGAAGCTTCTCACCGCCCCTGAGCCTCTGGTCTATACCCCAGTTCTGTATGCACAAATAAATCTTTAAAAAGAGAGAGAGAGAGACTGATGCATACCCACACTGAGTAACTATCTATCCAAATGTGAACAGAAGTCACATTACGCTTAAGATAGAGACCGCACAAGTATATAATCGCTTCTATTCATGATCAATTATTCCACTTTTCTGACTTAAAACCATGCCTTTGAAAATATGATAGAATTACCTGTTTGAGAGCTCTTTGCAAAAAAAGAAAAAAAAAAGGAAAAATATTCTTTTAAAAAGAGATATTTTCAGACTGTCAAGGAAAGCTGATACACTTGCAACTTTCAAGAAGACCACTTACTTCTAGGAAAGCGAGGTGGGTTGTCATTGACATCCGTCAGGGTCACGGTGACCGACGTGGTTCCCGAGAGTCCTCCATTTTGACCAACCATATCCTTTGCCTGAATAACAAGCAAATACTGGTCTTTAGCCTCTCTGTCCATGTTTGGAAGGGCGGTCTTGATGACTCCTGTAAGATTTCAAATCCCAGTAAAACGCATCATGAATCACTGCATTTCTACCAACACAGAATACTGATACAGGTAGCAAGCTGCTTGTGAGTTCACTTTTGCAGTTTTGTTTGTTCATCTTAAATGATTTTAATGCATATTAAAGACCAAAGGGAAATGCCAGTTATTGACAGTAACTGTAATATCATTGTATGCTGTAGAAAATGAGTAATATGGGAGATGAGGCTTCTCAGGGTTGGATACAGAGGGTTCTTTTGGCTTTATGGAAATGTGGTTCAGAAAATACCAACTTAGAAATGAGTAAAATGTTTCACCTTATCATAGAATAATAGGCCAATCATTGGTACAAGTGCAAGAAGATACATCTTTTTCTTCTCTTCCACCATCTCCATCAACTCAACTTCTAGTGACATGAACTTGCCCTAAACAGTTTAGCAAAGGTCCCTACTCTGCCTCATTACAGAGAAGAGAGCAGAAACATTCCACCAAGAAAAAGGCTGAATGGTGGTTTATGTTTACTAAGCAAAAGGTCATTTCAATCAGCAGCTAAGATTGGACACCACAGCTGATGTTGAATCTCACAAGCTGAGGAAAAGTGTAAAAGGTAAACATGGGAACCTTGTTCATGAAAAGCTGCATCATCAAAAGCATCAATGCTGCAAGTTTCTGTTTAATTATATTTAAGAGCCATCGCCTTAGGATTCAAATATACGAGAAACTGATTTTAGGACATGTTTGGTTGAGAAACAACTCAATAGTTATTATTGAAGTGGATTAGTTGTTTTATAGAACTAATTAATCATTATAGAACTAATTAATCATTGTCTATACTAGGTAATAGTATGTAATTTGAAATTTTAATTGTTGCTCATAGATATGCAAAATGAAATATACGCCTAAGATAATATACTGAGCAAATACACATAGAGGTAATGTCAAGCGAAAAGCTGCTTCGTTCATAGTGACCAACACAGACCCCGGAACTAGCTACCTGCAGAAATATAAGAAGTCTAGAACCTTTTCTTTTCTTGCATATTTGTCTTTTCCAACAAACCAACGGTTCACCTACCCACCTAGGGCCATTAGTTCATTAACGAAGCTTGAACCCTATCTAATCCATGTTAGTAAACCGACTGCAATTTTCAAGGGGATGTCAGAATATAAATCTCAGCCGACTCAGACCTAACGAAGAATGACTCTGGAGTCACGACCTTCTCAGGGACAAACAGTTGTTCCATACAGGATGGCTCTTGGTGAGGAAATAACTTCTGACAAATTGGGATAAACATGCCCTTTTTGTGATCAGTTTAAAAGTATCTGATATTCTGCAAACCTACAAACACGTTTAAACTGCCAATGGAAATTTTCAAAGGCTGGTCTGTCAGAAGCATGAGGAACCATGCTCTGTTGTAAAGCTACACCACCATAGGTGGCTGCCTGGAATGTCCCAATAGTCTAGTTTGGTGACTGTCCTGGGGGTAGAGTCACACGACAAAAGCCTGTCCACATTTTGAGAGAGGTTTAAACAATTACTCTAAAGAGTCCAAGTTATATTTAACTCTCTTGCTCACTTAACCCTATTTTGTTCAGCTATGAAACACCGACACATCTCAAGCACACTTCAGTATCTTACATATTTACGTTATACTGTTAAGATGCTTGTGTATCAACATTAACCACTAATTCTAATACAGTAATTGAGTGCACTACAATCACATTAATACAAGTTCACTTTAACTCTTCCCTGGAGGAGTTCATTTATCTACAAACTGCTTATAATGGATCTTTGAAATATCACAGCAAAAAGCAAAAGGAACACAGTAGTAAATCCACTCGGTTCAGTGGGTAAGTGCGTGATACATATTCTTCTTAGAGCTATAATGATTCTATGAATATTTCATGTTCTTCAATACTTCTGTGAGTTTTAATAAACAAAAAAATGACTGACCTCCAAATACTTACTAAGCATAAACAATTTTTATCTGTGCATTCTGGGACATATATAGCTATATAGCTCCATCTTTCCTTTTATTATGTTAATCGTCTTTTATGTATTTAACCCTTTTATTTATAAATTGAGTATTAGCTGTCTTGAATACTAGCCACTAAGAGTTTCATCTAGATGACAAGATATGAGTCGCTTTTAGATAAAAGTTCCTACTCATGCAGTTTTAATGTATTAGTCACTTTTCCATCCAATATCAAGTTTTTAACCTTACACGTTTATTATAATAGAGAAGGACCCAGAATACCGAGTATTCATCCTTTTGCAGTTTTGACTAGTGGCATAATTTTTGAAAGGAAATACAGTACTTACTGGGAAAGAAAATAGTCAAAGTTACTCATATTTTTATACCTCATGTCTCTCTGCAATGATTCTATAAATAACTCTTTCCAAAGCAAAATCATCATGAAGTTTGTAAAGTAATGCAGGTCGCAAACGTAATTTCCAGTAGCCTCAAATATTAACCATATTTTGACAAGAGTGGAATAATTGGAAGAAAAGTGAATTTAAATAAGGGCATTCAAAAGTAATAGATTTTTGGTTGGATGGCTTCTGTTAGCTTTTATTTTTATAAACTGTTGACATTTGGAAAAAAATTCTCATACATTTTATTTGATTTGCATTTCACTATATATCACTGAACACATACACAGGCAGACTGTTAACACTGTGTCTAAAGTGATAAAAGCCAGTCTTTTCTAAACAGATCTCTAATTCTGTGAGATTGTTGTGGAAGATAGTAGTATTTAATTTCAATAATCAATTTTAGCTGCTTACTATGAGAAAATATATCCTTGATAGCCTCTGAAGAGAGACTGACTCAGGTTTTAGGCATTCTGAATAATAATTTTTCAACTGACCTCGTAACCCAGAACTTTCCATTTGTTTATCATCTATATACCTATGAAGCATAAATTTATCACACTGTCATCCAGCAACTGTTTGGATTTTTGTCTGATCATAAACTTACAGGTGATTGTCTAATGTCCTTCCACTCACCGATGACACACATATACACAGATATTTTATAAGCATATACATATGTTTTTAACATCAAAGCTATTCGTTTTGCTGATATTTTCTCTTTCAAAACATTAATCTAGCTTTTCTATTGGATTGTTTCCATTAAGGTAACAGCAATCTTTTTTTCAAAGCACAGTTTGCTACAACACAGCCCTTTTTAAGATTTTTTATAGGAATTACATGTAACAGACAAGCGCTATTTCTGACATCACCCTCCTTTAGGGAACCCAGCCACTACTGGCACCTGCAAGCTGCATACTCAAGCTTCGGAACAATGTCAAGAATCCAGGCAACCACACAACCCAGGTCACAGGAGGTCTGGAGTTTTATTTGATTTGGCCCCTTATATCCTAGACAAATAAGATGAGTCGCTTTCCTGTACGTTTTTGAACTCTAGCATCTATATCTTATTTGGTTTGTCTACTCAGTTACTCATACTTAAATACTGCTCAGTGAAGCTATAGAACCGTAAAGATGGAGCAAACCAATGATAACAATTAAGTTGGAAAGAATATCAGAACTAGCATCAAGGAATCCTGGAGGAGTTGCATCTGCAAACTCACCAGGGGACACACTTAGTAAACCCCAACACGGGGTGAAGCCTTTGTACCTTGAGCCAAGTCACAGAATGAAACTGGTTTGAAGGACATACTGGGGTGGGGCTTTGTGATAACTACGTCATTCGCATAGTGTAATTCACAAAATTATGATGTTAACAAGACTGCATGTAACACATGGTACTATGTACTCACACCTTATGCTTGAGAAAGAACTAACAGACAAGAATAAAGTCAAACCCTTGAAGTCTGACTACAGCATGGACACCCCCAAAGGGGTGGCGAAGAGCTTGGGAGCACAGGTAGGAGAAGGTACAGAAGACTGTGGTAGAGGGTCTCTGTTGGTAGTGGCGGTGTGATAACGTATTTCAAGAGGTGTGCACCTATATCCCTAAATCATATACAGTTTTGATAACCAAAGATACCTCAATGAACATAATAACCTCCCCCCATACCCCTGCAAATTTCCTAATTGACAAGTGATGCTGAACTCTCATGCCCTTTCCTGGATGGAAAACATGATGGTAGAAAAAACAATGCACTTCTGGTCATGTGGACTTAGAAGAGCTCAGAGAGAATATGTACTAGGTTAATGACCTGCGATTAAGAAACAGTGATGATCATTGACAGTACGAATGATAGTAATATAATGATTTTTCATTTTTAAAAGAAAAAGACAAACTAAAAGACGCATACCTAGCTGTGGTTTTGTCGACCTATTTTTACATCTTGATTTAGCATATTTTCATGCCTACATTTTGTTTTCTTCTCCAAAACCCTTCAATTTGGAGATGGGGAAATGTTACTTCTCACTTTGATAACAAATCATTCGGACAGCCAGTTAGGAAGACTAAGTCAAACTTGATTTATAGCTCTCCCTGTGCTTACGGGCTGAACATTTTCTATTTTTATCAGAAAACTACTATTATTATCATAATTTGCTAAAAAGACATTCTCCATGGTAGAGCTAGCAGAGGACAAAAATTCCCAGAATAATTCTTCCCTAATGAATAGAGAAAGAGAATACCAGTGAGCACCATGATGATGCCTTAACAACAAGATAACATTAACCCAAACATTCTCTCCCTTCTGTAATACAGCCTGAGGTTCTGAAACTGAACCTCAAGTTTGAAGAACTAAATAATATGATCCCATGACCGAACCACTGGCCATTTTCCTGTCACAGGGAACCTTTGCAGTGAAACCTATTATCTTACAGCAAAGCTAAAATCACCAGCCAGTCATTAGTAGCACCAAAATATTTAAGTCTTGGGATCAGTACATGCTATTCTGGGACAAATTATATAATGCAGGAGTGGATAATTGGTGAGCAAATTGTCAGAAACTCATCAATGTCTCTCTAGAAGCAAAGGGTAGATATATAAGGGAACGGGTGGGAGTCTGAAATCAGGTTTCTCAGATCTATCATTAAATCAACCCCAAGCTCCCCTTTTACATTCACAGGATTCCTATCATAAATCAAACACTTTCACTTGTTTCTTCTTTCATACCTGCTTAATCAGAACTCTGTCTTCTCTATTAGACCTACCAGGTGGCTTTTACACTCTACCACTGTATCACAGTCTCAATGAATACCCTACAGAATGATGAGCTAGGCCTGAATTTATACCTTTGTTCATGCATGAAGCCTATTCCATTCCCAAAAGACATTTAAAATATTTATCTCCATGGAGATTTCAGAATGAATTAATATTTTCATTTTTAAAATATGGAAAACAAGATAATGGGCGTGAAAATATTCATTTAGGATCACTGGTACTAACAAACATTCATAATCATCAAGTTGTTTTTTGGAGAATTATTCTTCCCTGCGATAAAAATTAAATTATTATGTAGACAAATTTTGGATTTTTACAGTGATGGAGAAAATCAACAGCATACACCCACTCATTTTCACACCCACCCACTTTTCCTTACACACAAAGCTGAAGAGCAGAGTGGATAAAGTATTATTTTATAACAAATGCAACAGTCCTCCAAATCATAATCTTGTATAAATCAAACTAGTACAGCTAAAAAGCAAAACAGTATCTACCAACAAACCAGTCTTTCCAGCAGTTTTGCAACTCATAGGGAAAAAAAAATAACCGTTCAGCTGATCATCATCCTGATTTCTATAATTTTGCTATCTGCCCTGAGAAAACTGACTTCTTAGAAGGAAAAACTGAGTTTAATTACCTGTTCTACTGCATGGTTATTTTGATGTCTGTTGGAGACTTAAGCTCTACTGTGTACAATTCTTACATGAAATAATTGCAGGAAATAAAAATCTAAAATGTAAAGAATCAAAACTTTCTTAAATAGCCAGGAGACAACTGCTGAAATAGTTTTAATATATTTTAATATTCTGCCTTATTTTGGCAGGAGTAATGACATGTGTTATAATGAAATACCTTTTAAAAATACGAACATCTCTATAAATAAGATACTCATTACCAAAATTACACATAGCAAAAAGCACAATACAGTGTCCATGATCAGTGTTCAGTAGGATAAAAATAACTAATATGGGTCAATGACAAGTGGTCAGCGATGATTTTATAAGAAGGGTCACAGTCAGTGTTTACCTGTCTTTGGTTCCACAGAGAAATATGGCTGCCCTTGCAGGATGCTGTAGACCACTCGGGCGCTGTTGCCATAGGTGGGGTCATCAGCATCTGTGGCTGTCACCTGTACCACAGAGGTCCCTACATGCCAAAGCAAAAGCCAGTGAATGAAAAACTTCCAACTGCCACAAAACATAAGCACTCATAAAATGCTAGCCTTCATGCAGTTTTCATTTTCATGTGTCTTGACATGCAAATGATACCATATTTTTGGTATATAACACCACCCCCCCAATGATAAATGCTAAAAAAAAAAAAAAGTCTTTAGAAATAGTCAAAGGATGTGAAAACACATTGGCAAAACTTAAGAATGATGAAGTGTGTTGGGTGAGGACAGACTGAGAATCGGGATGTACTGACACTGAATACTCAGCCACCAGAGACTGGCAAAATGTTTTTAGAAGAGTAATCGCTGTTTAGTCTCAATCACTATCTAGAAGGCAGCAGCATGAGAAGTAATAGCATCATGACTCCCCAACTTTTAGGGGAACTCATAGTTATTGCTCATTCAATTAAAATTTGACTCTTCTATAAAAGACTGGACATTTGGTGACTACTCAATGTCATTGGTGAAAGTTTTATTTGTTTCTAACTTCTGATTTAAAAAATAAGAGAAACTTGAAAATACCCCTCCCCACAAAAGTAGGAAGGCTTGACAATTTTAAAAAATCACATGACTAGCTGTTTTTTCCACATTTCATGTAACTGAATGTTGTAGCGAGTCTTTATTTACTATTCACTTATTTGGCATGGAAGGCATTTTATTGTAGTCTGTTCTCTTTATTTCCATTTGAGTACTATATTGAAAATATCAGATTTCATGTTTGTTAAGTTTATGTATTTCAGCATTCGCTATTTTCTCACTTATGTCCGTGTGATGGAGAGTGACCAGTGTTTTATGCTCTTTTCCTTGGATGGACACACAGGTATATATGCACAACTTTTCAATTCTGAAGCTTTTATTTTACAGATAGACTTTGAGAACTGTGCCTTGTGGATGCCTGGTCAAACCAAGTGGGAAATGACACCTGTTTCTTAAAAAAGTTAAGAATTTTGATGTTTAAATGTTAGATTTAATGACACTGATACCCTCTCCAGGTTTTTTTTTTTATAATGTATCATTTTATAATGCACCAGGATATCACCTATGCTACTGATACAGACAACTTAAGACAAATGGAAACTGAAATCCAGTAAATTTGGTTGCAAATGTTTTCTTCTGTGTGTCCATTAATTTACACACATTCTCAAAAACTGCATTCCCCATGGTTATTTATGGTTGCCAGGCAATGACTAAACTACCCTAGGGGGATATTGGGATGTTTTAAATCCTCTAGTTAGCATCCAAAGAAAGAAACAGTCCTGAATAATCGACATTGCAAGTTTGCATATACCTGACTCTTAGTGGCCATTATAACTACTTGGTTAGGATTAAACACCTTGATAAACTCCCACTCACCATAAATCCAAGTAACACATTGTATCCCTTGTTCTTAGGTTGAATGTTGATATTAACCCAGCTGTCTGAACTAGTGTCAAGTAAATCCTAAGGATATTCGAAAGCATTTTCTAAAAAGCCCTGCCCCTTAGCATCATCACACCCTGGTTAGTGCTCACACACGCCCAGCTTGCCCAATTTAATGCCAGTCACACCCTGATGCAATCTGGGTTCTCGGCCATCCAAATCACAGTGCACAGCTCAGCCTCCTAAACATGAACTTCGCATTATGGAATTTCCATGGCAACAGTCAACTGAGCAAGCCAATGGCAGCTTTAATCCTAACCAAGTAGTTATAATGGCCACTAAGAGTCAGGTATATGCAAACTTGCAATGTTGATTATTCAGGACTGTTTCTTTCCTACTCCAAAGCCATCAGTCTCATGAAGTCGAATTGTTCAAACATAGCGCAAAAATTACTGTTTCACAAACAGCACTGATGGAAGCGAACAGTGCCGACTCATGTCTCTAGTAAATTCAAAATGTTGCCATTGCTGCTCTCACTGCTGCTTTCGTTAAACAGCAGGGACCCTCTGAGGCTGTGTACTGAGGCACAAGGAAGAATCCCATTTGGCCACAGAAGTGCTCACATCAGATTTCACAGAGACAGATGGTGTTTCCCCTCTCCCCTAGGAAGAGAAGGGTTTCTTTCCACAAGAGCCTCACCTCTGGTTCATTTCGGCTTGTGTTTCTTGAGCATCAAGAGCTCTAACACCTGAAATAAGTCCCCCTTTCCTTCTGACAGAAGCCAAAGTCCAAGGCCAGTAACTGAGCTTGCTCAGCAGTGGCGGCTGGATGGTGGGTGCAGGAATGATCCCCATTGATTTTTTCTTTTTTTTTAAGATTTATTTATTTGTGCACACAAGAACTACAGTGCAGGCCAGAGGTGCTGGGGGTGAGAGGACTCACCAGAGAGTAGGAAACAGAACAGGCAGATCTACTGACATACACTGCTAAGGGGAGCAGCAGGCAAGACAATAAAGTTGTATCTACTCTAGCCCATTAATTTTTTATTGTTCCGAAAGAGCTTTCATACGTGAAATTATTTACTGGCTGAAAATGACCCTAAAAATACCTGAATCACTTCAACTTAAATTTATATTATTTAATACCAAGTCTAAACTTGAAATACTTTACTTTTTGCTTTTCCAACAATGAGGCATTGTCAGAGGCCTTTGAAAAAGTCCTTATTATTCAAAAGTGAGTGTTATAAACTTGGTATACATTTCCATGCATTTGAGTTTCTGGAAGAATCACAAAAAAAAAATGTGTGGTACCGTGGAGATGGACATCTGTGGGTTCAAGAATGTTTTGTTTGTGTTCTGTATGTTCAGGCCCAGACACCGACAGGCCCACTAGTTACGCTGGCCATCTGCCGAGACCTCAACCAGAGACATGCGGAAAGCAGAATTGTTACTCGAATCTCAGGATTACTCTCCTCACAGAGCTGCAACTGGAAGGATTCTCTTAAAACTCTGTAGGTGTTATTTAATCACTCTTTTAAATTTAAATATGAAGTTGAAAAGGGCATGTGAGACCTAATTATGTCTTAGGCATATGGCTCCAGCCTCCCTATTTGTGTGACCGGCATTAATCCAGTATGAAACTGAAAGTTCGATGCACATGTGAGCAATTTCTGTTACATGAGTGATTCCATAGGTGCGGAAATTGTCAGAACTACTCAGTGAGGAGGAATCGCCTCAGTTAAACAGCATGCTGAATGACCGGCCCTGGACCCTGGGGGAGGGCTCACCGCCCCCCTTCCCCCTCGCCCTGTGTCCCGGGCTACACAAACTCTCCTGTCCTGTTTCTATTATTTTAGAACTTAGACCACTGGATTCTGAATCAAGCCTCCTCCTAGCAGACACAGCCAAGGCCGCGTGCTCTGGACTTACCCACAGGAGACATTTCGGGAACTCCCGCGGTGTACGGGCCATCCAGGAACTTGGGTTCGTTGTCATTGATGTCCTGGATCTTGATGACGAACTCGGACTCGGGCTCCACAGGCTTGTTGGTGAGCCGGTCCAGCGCCTGGGCACGCAGTGTGTAATACGCCTGCTCCTCACGGTCCAGCCTCTTGGTGGCGTGGATGTCCCCAGTGTTCTCATCAATGATGAAGATGGAACTCGCCCCTTCGCCCGACAAGATGTATTTGATGGAGCCATCTCCTTTATCAACATCAGAGTGAAGCTGGTGAAAAATTCATGCGAGCTGAGATTAGCTTACAAGTGAGTCAGCGATATGGAGACATGCTGAAATGATTCTCATGTCAGGCAGCAGAACAGGGCACTTATTGTTCTTGGAAAGTTAAGCTGATGCTTGGGAGCGGCAGAAGGCTGAGAGAAACGTGTCTGCTCACACTGTGAGCCAGACAAGTCCATTCCTTTCTGCACAAGCTCACTGCTCACAGTATCACCTATCACCCCCAAAGTTAGAAACTTTGGGGAATACTACTTTTGATTTGGTTTGTTTTTGCCAGTTTTCAGCTTCTACTTGGAATAGAGCAGACATCCAGTCAGCATAGAAAATGGGGTGGTTTGCTTTTATTGTAAGCCAAGGGACCAGCTATGGAATATTAGTAAACTTAGAGCTCATGTATTATGTAATGTGCTTAGAAATATCCACCCTTTTTGAGAGTGCAATCCCACTTGCACCACCAGTCCCCCTAAACTAAGTGAGTCTTCAAGACCCCGCTGATCTCTAGAACTGTATATATCTCTTCTAAATACAAGATAATCACCCGCCTGGATCCCAACTACTCTCTATTCACCAAGCAAAACTGCTGCAAGAGCAGGGAGCTGAGCTTTGGGGGCCTGATAGTGACTTAGTGTAAATTAACTTATGAAACTAAACACAGGAACCATGTACATTTGCACATTGGGAACAGCAATAATACTCTCCATGATTAGCAAGTATGCATGGGTGTCCGGGCACTAAATCAGCCTCTAAATTCCATTCTATATTTTAAAATTTGAGTTAAAAAAAATTACACTGCTCTCTGAAGTAGGAATTTTAAATCAATATGCCTGAGACTTCAACTAAAACCTTTCTTGAAATACCAAGCACTGCATTAGATTTGCATGATTAACCCCGGCCCCAGCAGCCAGGCAGGCACCTACTGATTTGCATTCCATATCTGGAACTGTCCCTGTTGTATGTCAGATTATGTTGAACAGGGGAACCTTAGGAAACTCAGAAATAATTACACATTTTCCTGAACTTCCTAACCTGAGAAATACAGTACTCAATCTATCATTTCAACAATCTTTTGTCCTCTATAACTACCATCATCTGGGCTTTGATGAATATGAACGCAAAAGCCCAATTTACCAAATAACAAGACTTTGCTCTGCCCGACAGGACTACATTTACATTCTTTAAAAGACAGGGTGCTAAAAATATAAACCATGGAAAGCTATTTAAGAAGATGCATGCACCCTGCCTCGACAGCCCTCTCAGTTGGCGGCTGTGGGTGCCGGCCTTGCCCAAGGTTTGCTTACGCGATTCTTCCAGCACATTCTCCCACTTGTGGCTCAGCTCTACTGTTTCAAATACTTAAAATACCTGATCCATCCTTTAATTTCTATAATGCAAAAAAACTGAAATTTTGGCACCCGTCATAATTCAGATATTCTCAACAGAATTAGCAAGGGGGCGCCTGGCTATTTAGGGACAAGCCCAGAAGAACAGAGGTGAATGCAGAGAGACAAGTAAATATAAAATTTGAAGAAAGATTTAATAGGACTTATTTATATAGGAAGCGAGGAAAGGGAGAGCTAAGAGAGAAGGGAATGATTTGTTGGCCATTCCACTGCCAGATGCTGTGAATCCTAGGAGCAGAGACACCAGCTGTGCAGAGATCACAGCATAAGAGGAAGACAAAAGAGGGGCTAGGCACGCCTGCCTGTAAGCTGTCTTTGTAAGGTCAACGTGGTGGCTCCGCTCTACCCCCTAGCTCCCTTGAGCCTCCACTCCAGACTCCAGAAGGTGGAGTCTGCAAAGATCCGCCTTTTACCATTGAGTTGATTAGCAGCAACACCGATTATACAGAGGTTGTTCCTCCCTGTTCCTCTTACAATGGTGCATGTTTACTCAATGCGAAGAAATAATGTTTTGCAATGTGTTGGATTACACAGTTTCCTAAAACACCCTACGGTTTATAAATACATTGTTCTCTCCCTCTCACTTAAGAAGGGGAAAAGCTAATTATTATTAGGGCTATTGAACAAGTGTACTGGTTGGCACTGTTGTGAGTGTTCTCTACAGGCTCATGATGTACCTGATGAAGCCATCTCCTTTTATTGACCCCAGTAACAGATGAGGAAATTAAGTTAGAGAAAAGTTCTATATTTTTCCCAAAGTTGTACAGTCAGTGTTGTGTCAGGACGGTGAAAGGGCAACCTCTACCCCTACAAAGGGATCTTGCCTCTGAGAGAGGAACTATTTATTGTCTGTGAGGTAGGGAGCACAAAAGTCCCCTGAAAAAATTCAGAAAAAGTAAAGCACATACACCCTGCTCCTGCTAACCACCCCCACTTCTTACAGAAGCTCAAGGTTCCATCAATGCCTATTATAACTTGAGTCCTTTCTTGGCAGTAGAGAACAGCAATAAGCTATGAAACAGAACAATATGCTTGTTCCTGAGACAAGAGCAGATGGTGGGTGAAGATTCTTTGTTTCTAAGCTGCTAATCCACCAGATACTATGTCCTACACACACTTCTTAGGTGTGAGATGAAGGAAGAGGCCATGTCCAGAAGATATACAGAAGCGATACACATCTTGTCTTTAATAAAATTTTCCTCTATCTCTAAATCTCATCAGATACTCTCATTTACAGAACCAGCTTTTATGCTTCACTCTTCCAATTCCTGTCAACCAATTGCTGCTTTCATGGCAGAGCAAGACTACTCCTGTGAGGCTCCAGGTCAGGAAAAGGGGACACACTGACACGGTTTCACTCCTGAATATGACCTTCAACTTGAGCTCTGAAGCTGCATTCATCACCATGGGGCGCTGTGAGCTGACCTGTTACTGACAGCAGATGAGCTTAAATGTAAAATCAAGGTTCACGTTACTTGTTTCTCTAGTCATTCAAGGATCAGATTCTTTCACTAGCACTTCCATCATCGAACCCACGCAAGCACACACACACTCCTTTCAGGAGCCCTGAACTTTATATCCTTCCCATTCCTGACACTTTTCTCCCAGCTGGGTCCATCTCTAAGCTTGTAATCACTGCCAAAATTCACAAGCAGAAAATTGCTTTGAATCTGAGCTCAGTGTCCTTGCAAGGTTAGCATAAGCATCTGCAGTTAAAAGTGGATGGTGACTTTGCAATGTTGATACGGGTACAGAACTGTCAGAGGCATTTTCTATCTTTAGGGAAGAGCACATGCATTGGTCTAGTCCTAACCGGTGAAGGGAAAACCACACCAATAGTAAAAAAACCACCTATCCCTGTGAGGAAAAAAAAAAAATAAGGTTCAGCAAAGAGAAATGCCACAAGGGCAGACCTGTCAGAAGCAACCCTAAATGGACACATATGTGTGCGCAGGTGTGCACATACACAGCATTCACAAGCAAGCGATAAACAACTGGCATTAAGTGTAAACAATTACCATCCTCTGTGAAGTGCTATGATCAGAGCAAAATAGACCAACCTATGGCCTTGCATTATGGAAAATGAATAAATGATAGTTGAAAAGCAACCAAAACCATCATTTAAACTGCCGACAGGGGCAGCATAGAACTGCATGCTGTATTTTTCATTTGCATACAAACTTGCAAACCGGATCCGATGATACCTCTAAACAGCAACAACAACAACATCGTGATCATTAATCACCACTCAACATTCACCTTTCTAGCAGGATCCCAGCCTCCTTTTCCAAGTATTTACGGTGGCACCAACGTAAATATTTACAATAAGCTTTTATTTTGTTTTCTTTTTGCAAATGAGTCTCCTTCATGACAAAAGCAAGGATTACAGTAAAAAAGGATTAGAGTCAAAGGATTGGACAGGATGCAAAGTGCACAAGACCCGGTGTGTGTGAAAACCATGCTGGGGGTGGAGCGCAGCACTGCGAAGCTAAGCTATGGCCGCTTCAGTGAGAGTTCGATCCCCACCCTGGAGGTGACCCACAGGGCGCAGCAGACCTCTCCTGACCCGCCCGCTGCTCCCCTCAGCAGTGAACTTCATCCATCTGCCTGTTCTGCTCCCCACTCTGTATCTGGTGAAGCCTCTCGCTGCCCCTGCACCTCTGGCTGTACCCCATTTCTGTATGCATACATAAATAAAAATCTTAAACAAAAACACACTGGCTCCAGCATCCTCTGCTTAATACTCTTTCCCACCACCTCTAAGACAGCCCTTGCTTTTGGTTTCTCTAAATAAGCTAAACCCAGAAACATAAAATGTTTCGTTTCTCTGAGTAATCTTAATCCGAAATCCAGAGTCTTTAAATATTTCATCTTGGCTATTATAAAACTAGCTATTTATCCTCTACTTTTAAAAGCTATCTAAGTGATCACAGTCTTTGGTGGAAATTATCTCCCTAAAATATACAATGAAGGACATCAGACCCCTCATCAATCTGTGTTCTATCGGTTAGCCCACAATTCTAAGCATGGGGACCCCACGATTCTAAGCATGGGGACCCCTGGGGCCTCTCCTCTGTCTCTGCATCATGGCTCAGGGAACACACTAAGTTCCAGGCATGCAGGCCAGTCCCACAGCTGCACACAGCAAGCTCTTCTGTTCTTCACAGCAAATGCCGCTCATCATCTTAAACAATTGATATAAGCCCCCACCAAGTCCTCACCATCCCTCCCCACCCCAACAATGTTTGAATATGTATCCCAGGATTCTTAAATTCTGCTTTGTACTGAAAATCGGGTTTAGTTGTTTTTCTATCCAACTCTTTCTTTCATTTACAAGCTCCCTGAGAACTACACTCATTCTACACTCTCAAACTATTTCTTGTAAAATTTAGGAAATGTAAAATCCAGTTTGTAAAATGGTACTGCTTAGTGCTTATTTATTTCAATTTCTAGTCATTTAAGTGTTCATAATATTAGGCAAAAAGAAAAAGTCAACAAACAAAATGACCCTCTCTCCAGTTGGTTCTCGCTCCTCAGAACCATCTAGCTTGAGCTCAGACACCTCACTGTGCTTGCTCAGCACAGGCT